TGAGAGTGGAAGCTATACAAACCCGCTTGGTACCAACATTAATCGGCGTCATGGCTAAACACTTTTGCCGGCACATACAATACGTATTGCCTTGATAGCGAAGAAATGTGCCCCCTCCCTGTCAAGGAACGACAACACGAGAGGGAGCCAGCACATTGGCGAAGCGTCTTTCTCGGCACTATTTACTGAATTTCGGCACTATTGGCTGAAAGTGTCTGGCGCATCTCTTGCCCCCCCCCCCATCCCAGCGCACTGGACATCATCACCCTCTGAGAACGCTTGTCGCATGCGCTTTGCTTTGCCTTGGTCTCGTGCGTGTATCAGGACATGAGGAAGGCACTGACAGAGGAGGCATCGGAGCTTCAGCGAGAGGTAAAAGAAGAGTGCTTCAGTGTGCAAACGTAACCACCTGTTGTATCCTCCTCGGGCGAGAAATACACCCGTCTGCGCCAATATGTCTGCGCTCCATCACGCCGCTTGCAGCCTTCTTCATACCGAAAATTGATACGATGTTCGTTGCAACTCACCTTTGCCTGGTCCCCCAGTGTCTGCATGAGGGCATTATGCACTCTTCGCTGGTAATACCGTGAATATCGAGATGTATCCAAGAGGATATGGGGGCAAGGGTAACAGAAAGCTCACCTGATTATAGAATAAGCGTGTTCAACAGAGATTCAAGAACGTGCAGCTTATGCTGCTTGTGTTCTGTGGCAGACTTGAACAAAAACGCCAACTAAACAGTGTCATCATTGCCGCATGGTGGGCGTGTTTCTCAGCACGTGGCCCTGACACAGCTACATCTGCAGGGATAAACAAGATACAGATCGTATGTCTGTCAAAAGCACACAAAACAAGGGTTAACAAACATTCTTCATACTTCCTTGGGCCTAAAACTGAGACAGGTGGAGGTGAAACAGAGAGATCACGGCGCCCTGCGAGGCGAGGTGTCTACGATAACCCTCCACATGGAGCAGAAACAGGAGAAGGAGCGGCTCGCCAGGGAGCGTGTTGAGACGTTGGAGGTGAACAACGTGTACGTACCTACCGCAGTCCAGGCTGCCGAGCCCCTTCGAGGGCAGAGAACCGTAGCACTTGTCATGGGCAGACGGCTCGCTCGCTCCATCGTTTATGCGAGGAAAGGATGGACGGTCTAAGCAAGGAGAGGATGGACCCATGAGAAAACCACGAAAGATACCAACCATCCCTATCAACACGCTCGCCACAACACCGTCAGCTGCTAGCTAGAACCGCGACCGACTTTTTGCATCCTTTCCTTCCCTCCGCCCTGCACCTTCCCCGAGCCCCGCTGCTTACTCCTGCAACATTCTCCACAACCCCCCCTTGTTGTTGTAGGCCCGCAAGGTCGCTTTGGACGAAGCTGTTCGAGCAGAAGTGACCCGAAAAGGACATTTGGAGGAATTGCTAGACGCCAACCAGGCAAGTCGGCTCACTATCTTTGCTTTGGAGAGTAGGGCTTAGGTAGGGGTCGGCTGGGGTTGCGATTCGAGACTCTGGGTTGGGGTTGGGGGAACAAGTGAGGGTAGGGTTAGAGTTGCGCTAGGGTTGGGAGTTATGTTGGGCTTGGGTTCAAGGTTAGTTTAAGGTTCCCTCATGGCGCCTTCGTAGCCAACGCGTATTGCGCTGCGACACCGGCGAATCGTTAGCTATGGGGTTAAGTGTGATGCACGGTAGGTGGAGTGGGACGTAAGGCATTACGTGGCGTAGAACGCACGAACACGGTCCGTTGCCTATCCATTACCTGTCCTCGCAACCTGGTCCTCGCAATTCGTCGGGACGACAAACCACTGAGTCACTACTCTGAGCGTTTAGTCGTTGAGCGGAAAGCTCAAAGGACATGAGGAGCTCAGGCGACACCTTTAGCATCAAACACGATGGTGGTGATCGTCCCTGATTTATGCAGACTAATGCCCAACGGTTGTGCTGCAATGAGGTTGGTTCGGTGATTTTGAGCATGTCAGGAACTCTGGACTTGTCTTTTTCTCCACTTCACGCTCCATCGCACAAACATACGGTCACAGGCCAAGGCTCAGAGAGACCAAGAGCGATACAAGAACCAGAAGGAATACTTGAAGACGGAGGCGGAAGTGAGTGTCCAGAAAGATCAATAGTTATAGCTTCGGCACAAGTTGGACGTATTCAGCCTTTTCTGCCTCCCTACCATGCGTCTCTACTGCACACAGCGGCGCAATCAAGACGACTGCATGTTCCTGGGCCGTCGTACCTAACGAGGGGCAACGTAGAACAAGAAAATGTACGCCCACGTACTATTCATCAGTGTGTTTCTCGAGTTGTTGTCGTAACATAAATAACCGTTCCGATCTCTCTACTCAGTACCTTCATCTGTCCCTACCGATCAGACACTTGACCGATCAATTCCCGTGGTCACAGGCTAACTTACCTTAAAATGGCAGCCTCAAATCAAATGGACCCTTAGCCAATTCAAATCAACGATAGATAGTCTGGGGCCTTCCGCTCTCCTCTAATCGCTATGTGGGGTACGAATGAAACTATAAGTCAACATCACAGGCCAGAGAGAGAGGTACATCCCTTGGTTCACTCTTGGTACTGCGCAAAGAAAAGAAGAAAGAGAAATAACGAAAAAATCTAGTGGGGTGATGAAATTCTCCCTTCTTCCTTTTGTAAGGCTTATAGTTAGGCTAGATTTGGCTTGGGATCAGCGTCAGGATTCCCACCGCCGCAGCCCCAAACGAAAAGAAAAACTCTATTTATGCTTGCTCGGCCGCGCCTTGTATTCAAAACACCAGAACATTGGCGTGGTAGAGGAACAACTTCGGGCGTCGAAGGAGGAAATGGAACGGTGTCTGTCGGAATACGACGAGCTTTTCAGGACCATTCAGCGGCTCTCAGAGGAGCTCAACACACAGATTACTGCCAACGGGGTGCTGCAGGTGCGGTGAAGCACTACCACAAATACACACGCACACGCAGCAAGACCGAGGGAGCAATCGCCTGGGAGCGTCGTGCGAGAGCACATTCGCTTATGTATCTTAACAACTTTGAGATACTTGGGAGGGTGTGGTCAACAGCAACCGGCAGGGGCGCGTTTCTTCCGAGGGCCTCTTGTTTCCGCTCTGCATGGTTTTCCGCCATATTATCCCTTACGATGTGTGTCGTGGGCGGGGGGGGATTCCTGATTTTCCATGGGCGGTCATGTTTCATTGACGCCGGAGCTAGTGTCGATAGCCGATCGCATCGTCACTGAGCAAGGATGGAGCACACGCACGTATTGGTTGGTGTAGTTGAACCGTACCGCCTGAATTCGACATCCGTTTTCCATGTCGAAAAGTCGACAGGGGTCATCGCAGCAAGCGACTCCGCAAGCCCCGCTGCACGAATCTTCCGACGATTCATCCCCTCGACGAGCTCGGTTTCGTTTTTCCTTAAGCTGTGCCGTGCTTTGTTCGACTGGTGTTTTAAGTGAGCCCCCGATAATTCTCCTTCATGCCGCGGCCTGCATACACACAGGAGGAAAACGTGAGCAGGAAGCAAGCTACAGATGCCACTCTGGCCAGACTTCGAGCCCTCGAGAAGAACACACTGAAGACCATGCGGCTGAAGGATCTCGCTCAGGTATGTAAAGAACCTTCATATAATAGCTACATAGTAGGTGATTATATTTTTTTGATTCGATCGTTCAATATTTTCTGTTCGTACTTGCCGCCGGGGTGTGCCTCGTCCAGTATTACGCCGCCGCTCTTGCCGAGCATACATGTGCAGTCCCCCATACTGCGTGCTTTGATGCTTGCTCTGGTGTCGAGCTCACCATTACGAGGTCGCGACCGCAGTGCTTTAGAGACTGCTCGAACGACATGTAACTCAAAGTCCGTCAGGCGTCAACCGAGGGGGGTTAGGATTCCCATCGATGCGGCCGAGGAGGTGGGGAGGGAGTAGCAACTCACCATTGTAGAGATAGAGGTGTCTGCGATACGAGACACAGAGTTTGCGTTCGTTCTGAACACGATGCCAACGACAACAAAAACATCCCCCAACACGGGTCTTGCGGCTTCCTTGATAATTAACATTTCCAGAAAAAAATAGAAGAGGCGGAGGCAAAACGGCAGCAGTACGAGCAGCAAAGGGACACGCTCAAGACCAAGATCCATGGTCTCAACTCGATTGACATGAAGGTATGTAGGTTGGGGGGGGGGGGGGGGGGGG